AAAAAAAAAAGAAAGAAAGAAAATACTTCTTGTTAAATTTTCTTCTTGTAGAGGTTGGAAAAGTTGATAGCCTTGCCTTGCCTTAGAAAAAGTGACAAAACCAGAATTTGACTCTTTGTCTTTCTGAAATCCATAATTTGTTTTTTTCCCCCACTGTATTCTATTCCATTATTCAATATTTTGCTAATTGACCTAAAATTGTTTTTTAAAAACAAAATGCAAAATTTTAAATTAAGATTTTCTTTTGGCTCAGTGCCTGTGGCTCAAGTGGCTAAGGCGCCAGCCACATACACCTAAGGTGGCGGGTTCGAATCCAGCCCAGGCCCGCCAAACAACAGTGATGGCAGGAGACTCATTTGAGCCCAGGAGTTGGAGGTTGCTGTGGCGTCGCAGCTCACAGCAACCTCAAACTTTTGTGGTTAAGTGATTCTCTTGCCTCAGCCTCCCAAGTAGCTGGGATTACAGGTGCCCACCACAATACCTGGCTGCTGGCCTGGGCCAGGTTTGAACCCGCCAACTTTGGTATATGTGGCCAGCACCCTTGCAGCTGAGCTACTGGTACCACTTAAAATTAAGATTTTTTTTTTGCAGTTTTGGCAGGGGCCAAGCTTAAACCTGCCACTCCCTGTATATGGGGTCAGTGCCCTACTCCTTTAGCCACGGGTACTGCCCAAGATATCTTTTTGTAATGCCAAAGGAATTATTGATTTTTTAAAAATGTTTTTATGTGTGCAATATCACTTATTTTTAAATGTTTGCTGGGCCAGGCACAGTGGCTCATGCCTGTAATCTTAGCACTTAGGCCAAGGCAGAAGGATCACTTGAGCTAGTGAGCCCAGAAGTTCAAAACCAGTGTGGGCAACATAGCAAGACCCAATCTCTACCAAAAAAAAAAAAAAAAATTAAGTAAGTGTTTGCCCATAAATACATGGTAATATTCATGAGAATTAATAAGAAAGTCCCATCAAATTTTTTCACCCAAGTTTATCATAATAAGAAAATCCAAAGCTTAATTTGATTTTTAATCTACTGAATTATGTCTCACAGGGTTATGGCATTTCCTCTGTGCCAACTACTTCCAATTCTAAGTCCATAAAGGAAAATAGTAATGCTGCCATCATCAAGAGGTTTAACCATCACAGTGCCATGGTCCTGGCAGCAGGACTCAGGAAACAGTTAAGTATACATGCAAAGGTGCAATAACTGGGCTTTTTAGAATTTCCAAATGGGGCTTTTTAGAATATCCAAATGGAGTTGTGGCATTGTGCTTGTAGTTTTTAACATAGATCCATTTTTTTCCTTTGTTTTAAGAGAAGCACAAAATGAACAAAATGGTGAGCCCAGCAGCATGGATGGAAATTCCGGAGATGCAGACTGTTTTCAGCCAGCAGTAAAAAGGGTATGGGCAAAATATTTGGACCAATTTGGGGTTTTGGTTTCTCTAAATACTTCAAATAACTGCTTGTACTTTATGTCACTTATTTCATGACTCATTTCTTTTAACCAAGAAGTTAAGCATTTGGTTTACAGTGTAGATCATTATGAAGTATTTCAAGTTTGGTTTGCCAGGCTAACTTTCTATTGACTCAACCCTGTTTAACCATTTTTATTGGTTTTTTATCTTTCACGTGCGCACATACACACAAACTCTTTTTGTGCGTGATTTTGTTGTCTGGGCAAGAATATTCAACAGAGGCAATGTAACAGAATAACCTGAAGTTTTGTGTATATGATTTTAAAAGAAAGTGAATTGGCTTTCACATAAAGCTTAGTATTTCAGAGGTGTCTGAAATGTCTTATGAAATATTAAATCATTTGAGAGTATGGAGGAGTATAGACAAAGTTAGCAGCTCATACATTTCTTCTTGTCCTCCAACTTTACCAATATTCTATCTCTCCCTCCCCAATTATAAAAATATGTTATGAAAAAGTTTTCTCTTAGAGGGCAGTCAGGTAGTATGTACTAAAATTTTTGAGCTTTATGCCTTAATTTTGTTTCTGGACACTTACTTTAAGAAAGAAAAGGGGTGGCACCTGTGGCTCAAAAGGGTAGGGTTCCAGCCCCATATGCCGGAGGTGGCAGGTTCAAACCCAGCCCCTGCCAAAAACTGCAAAAAAGTAATAATAGTAATACGGTTTCACATGTAGTAAAGAAGTTTATGAACTTTAAAAAGGCCTCAGGTCAGATGCAGCAGTTCACACCCATAATTAGGAGGCTGACATGGAAAGATACTTTAGCCAAGGAGTTTGAGACCAGCCCGGGCAACATAGCAAGACCCCCATCTTCATGAAAAATAAATGAACCAGGCATGGTGGTGCTTGCCTATGGTCATATCTACACAGGACGCTGAGGCAGGATAATCACTCGAACCCAGGAATTCAAGGCACAGTGAGGTATGATCACTGCACTCTAGTCTGTGGAACAGAGCAAGAACCTGTCTTTAAAAAGTATAAAAGAAAAAATACCGGCTCAGCACCTGTGGCTCAAGTGGCTAAGGCGCCAGCCACATACACTTAAGGTGGCGGGTTCGAATTCAGCCTGGGCCCACCAAAAAACAATGATGGCTGCAGCTAAAAAAATAGCCTTGCGTTGTGGCAGCACCTGTGGTCCCAGCTACTTCAGAGGTGGAGGCAGGAGACTCACTTGAGCCCAGGAGTTGGAGGTTGCTGTGAGCTGTGATGCCACATTACTCTACCCAGGTGGACAGCTTGAGGCTCTGTCTCAAAAAAAAAAAAGAAAAGAAAAGAAAAAATACCAAAGAATATGCTAAATAATTATCTTTCAGTAAAGGGATTATGAGTGAATCTTAAATTATGTTTCTTTTGCCTATTTCGGTAATGTAATATTTCTTTTTTTTCCTTTTTTTTTTTAAGAGACAGAGTCTCACTTTATTGCCCTTGGTAGGGTGTTGTTGCGTCACACCTCACAGCAACCTCCAACTTCTGGGCTTAGGCGATTCTGCCTCAGCCTCCCAAGTAGCTGGGACCACTGTAATATTTCTATAGACATGTGTGGCCTTTCAAATTATTAAAGCCAATGAGGCTGGGTGCCCATAGGTCATTGGTTAGGGTGCTCTCCACATGGTTCGGGGCTGGTAGGTTCGAACCAGGCCTGGGCGTGCTAAACAAATAAAAAATAGCTGGGCATTGTGTGGGTGCCTATACTCCTACCTACTAGGGAGGCTGAGGTAAGAGAATCACTTGAGCCCAAGAGTTTGAGGTTGCTATGAGCTGTGACAGTAAAACAAAAGCCAATGAGGTGTTTCCTTTTTGAACTATGGAAAATTATTATAAAGTCAAAACATTTAGTTATAGAGATCTTTTTTTTTTTTAGACAAGAGTCTCACTCTGTTGCCCTAGGTAAAATGCTATGCAGCAACCTCAAACCCTTGGGTTCAAGTGATCCTCTGGCCTCAGCCTCCAACTAGCTGGGACTACAGGCATCCACCATGGCACCTGGCTAGTGTTTTCTATTTTTAATAGAGACAGGGTTTCACTCTTGCTCAGCCTGGTCTTACTGAGCTCAAGCAGTCCACTGCCTTGGCCTCCCAAAGTGCTAGGATTACAGGTGTGAGCCACTGTGCCAGGCTACAAAGCCATTTTCTTTTTTTTTTTTTTTTTTTTGAGACAGAGCCTCAAGCTGTCACCCTGGGTAGAGTGCCGTGGCATCACAGCTCACAGCAACCTCCAACTCCTGGGCTCAAGCGAGTCTCTTGCCTCCGCCTCCCAAGTAGCTGGGACCACAGGCGCCCGCCACAACGCCCGGCTATTTTTTGGTTGCAGCCGTCATTGTTGTTTGGCGGGTCCGGGCTGGGGATTCGAACCCGCCACCTTAGGTGTACGTGGCTGGTGCCTTAGCTGGTTGAGCTATAGGCGCTGAGCCAAAGCCATTTTCTTAATAAAGTGTTACATATAATACATACAGCATTGCAGAATCAGTGGGTAAAGACAGATTATTCTACAAATGATGTTAGAAGTTGTTAGTAATTTAGTAAAAAGAAACTTTTTATAATTAAAATCAAAAAACACCAAACCAGGCTCAGCGCCTATAGCTCAACCGGCTAAGGCGCCAGCCACGTACACCTAAGGTGGCAGGTTTGAATCCCCAGCCCAGACCCGCCAAACAACAATGACGGCTGCAACCAAAAAATAGCCAGGCGTTGTGGCGGGCGCCTGTGGTCCCAGCTACTTGGGAGGCGGAGGCAAGAGACTCGCTTGAGCCCAGGAGTTGGAGGTTGCTGTGAGCTGTAATGCCACGGCACTCTACCCAGGGGGGACAGCTTGAGGCTCTGTCTCAAAAAAAAAAAAAACACCAAACTGGAAGAAAAAATATTTACAACACACATAATAAAAGGCAGTTTTCTTAATATTCAAAAAATGTCTTTACTCGATAGAAAAATATCCAAAAGCACAAATAGGTAATTAATCCAGAGGGAAAAAACGATAAAATATAAATTTTTATCTACCAGATTGGCAAAAATTAAAAGTTCAGTCATATTAATAGTACGGTCAGAGTGTAGGAAAACAGGTACTCTGTCAGTGTTTGGTGAGAAAATTGGGTCAGCCATTTCTAAGACAACCTTTTCCAGGAAGTGATGCTTATGGTGATGCTTCATTTTTTTACTATCTGTACAGTTTGATTTTTAAGTCATATTCATTAACTTGTTTAAGAGTTACTGACAAGAAGTACTGTTTTAATAATAGGCGAAGTTACAAGAGTCCATTGAGTATGAAGACCTGGCAAAAAATAATTCTGTAAAAACGATTGCACTAAACCTCAAGAAGTCAGATAGGTAAGTATGGTCAATATTAAACGGAACAGCTAATGTAACACAATTTCAAAATATATTCTGGAAATATAGCACTTATTTCTAATCCCATTATTGCCATTAAAGTAAATATGCTTTTTTTAAAAAAAAATCTAAGCATCTCAGGAAAGCATTCTAAATAATCAAAAACCAAGAAAATAAATTTTGGATCTTTGTGCTGTTTCTTTCTTATTGCCCTTATGGGAATTAAATTATTTGTTTATAGGGTGGCACCTGTGGCTCAAAGGAGTAGGGCACCGGCCTCGTATGCCGGAGGTGGTGGGTTCAAACTCAGCCCCAGCCAAAAAACTGCAAAAAAAAAAAAAATTTTTTTTGTTGTTTTATTGAATCTATTGTATTACTTTTTGCCTCGAGGGGTATTTTGTACTCCGTGCTAAAATGTTGACAAATACTGGGCATCTTTACTATGTGTAATTAGTAATTTCTTTTGTGCTAACCCTCAGGTATTACCATGGTCCAACTCCAATCCAGTCACTACAGTATGCAACAAGTCAGGATATTATTAATTCTTTTCAAAGTATTAGACAAGAAATGGAAGCTTATACACCCAGGTTAACTCAGGTGGGTGACTTATTTAATGATCAGAATTTCCATAGTTCCTTCCTCAGTTTATGAGCACAACTAGACTGTACAACTAATATTTCACTTGGGCTTAAGAATATATATCTGCTAAACAAATTGAAAAATCAAAAGGTAGGGAGAAATGGTGTTTGAAATGTCCCAGTAGCATCTTAATAAAAAATAGGGTAATGGGTTTTGTGATGGCTAATCTCTTTTCCTTTTATATACTTGGTTTTTTGGTTTGGTTTTGTTTTTTCGGTGTTTTTTTTTTTTTTTAGACAGAGTCTCAAGCTGTCACCCTGGGTAGAGTGCTTATAGTTTCACAGCTCACAGCTCAAACTCTTGAGCTAAAGCAATTTCTTGCCTCAGCCTCCCAAGTAGCCAGGACTACAGGCACCCACCACAATGCAAGGCTATTTTTGTTGTTGTTGTTCCAGTTGTCATTGTGTTTTTTTAGATGGCCCGAGCCTGGGTTTGAACCCACCAGCCTCAGTGTGTGTGGCCAGCGCCCTACCCACTGAGCTGTGAAAGTCTCCGTATATACTCGTTTTTTTATTAGCAAAATCTTCCAAAGTTCCAAATTCCTTCTGATATGATTCTGTGTTATGTACTGTATGGCCTGCAACTCAGAATGAATATATATATATCCATACACACACACACAGAGCTCATCATTCTTCATTTTTCTTACCATTCATACTTAAGTTGATCTCCAAATTCTGTCAGTCCTTCAATAATATTTCTTAACTCCATCACTTTGGTTTAAGCAGAACTGACTAATTTCCACAGTGCTACTATAAGTTACATTTCTAAAAGCATATGCTATCTCATTATGCTGCAGCTTTAAAAACCTTCACTGCTTCCCCTCATTGCCATAGTAACAGTCTGAATGCCTAGTATGGCATGCAAGACTCCACAGTCAGTCTGCTGCCCACTTCCCCAGTCTCCTCTTCAGCTGTTTCCGTCAGTTTCTTCCACATGTGACCAAGCTTTCTGTTCTCCAGCCCTAACACACTAAGCTGTCCAGAGTCTTCTAATCACATCATCTCCTTTGTGCTCCCTGTGCTTTCACTCATCCTTTGTCTATTCTTAGAACAGCCTTAGCCCTTTCTGTCCTTGAGAAACTAAAAATTATTTAAGACTCAGCTGTAATTTTATTGCCTTTGTAAAGCAGTCCTCATCATGCCAGAATTAGGGGCTATTTTTTCTCTGTTTTCATAAGCATTGAGAAGATGTCTATGCAGTATAATGCTTGTTATATGTCACAACTGACTTTTTTACTTTTAATCTTGAGTAATCTCAGGTTTACTGAAAATTGCAAAAGAATGTTTTTTGAGCCATTTTGAGAGTAGGTTACAGACATAATAGCATCCCTTTACCCGTCAGTCTTAGAATGTATATTTCAAAAAAAACTAAGGCATTCTGTAGTTAACATAGTAAAATTATAGAATTCATAAATTAACATTGATAACCTTATTATCTAACCTACAGATATTAACTAAAAATTTATCATTTGTATAGCTAATGTTCTGGAGCCAGCAGCCTAGCCAGGTTCATGAGTTGTATTTAATTCTCCTATCTCTGTGGTCTCCTTTAAAATGGAATGGTTTTTAAGTCATTCTACGTCTTTCATGACCTTGACGTTGTGGAATACCCTCAACCTAAGTTTCTCTAATGTTTCCTTCTGACTAAATTCACGTTAAGCACTTTTGCCGAGAATACTAAGAAAGTGATGTTTTGTCATCCTCAGTGCAAATATATCAGGAGACATATGATTTGTGTATGTCCTAACTTGTGATATTAACTTTGATCACCCAATTAAGATCAAATCTGCCTGGTTTCTTCCCTGTGAAGTTATTTTATTTTATTTTTTTTTTTTTTT